CTCTTTCTCCTCTCTCTCCCTCCCCTCTTCCTCTTCTCTCTCTCTCTGTCTCTTTCTCTCTCTCTCTCTCTCTCCATTCTTCCTGAGAGGTCAAGAAAGGAAGAAGATAGCTAACAAGGGCTATATTAATGGAGCAAAATTAAAAGAACAAGGAAAGACGTTGTTCCTCGCCCCGACATTTTCTTAGGACCTAAAAGAAAAGAGGAAGTTTAACCAGCCAAGTTGGTATCTGTTGCTCTCTGAAGTCACATTTTCAGACTTTATTGAAAAATAAAGGTGTAAAACATACCAACGATGAGGAAGACGGGTGGGACACACACACACACACTCCAAATCAGTTCACAGAAGAGACAAACTCAATAATGGCATTTTCAAAATTATCCCCATCAAATCCATTATTTTGCAGACGCAGCAAGGAAAATGTCAAAACAAAATTCATTAAACCGAACCGAGAGAAACAAAGTGCTAAATGTTTCCACGCTTTGCGAAAAGGCTGATAATTGCAAAAGGTTGTGGGCACTTTTTGAAAGACAAATGAAAAACCACCTAAAATACAGAATCCTAAAACTGGAAGGGGCCTCAGGGTGGAGGAAGAGGAGGAGGAAGATATTACAGTATAGAGGGAAGACGATAATGGAAGTTGAAGGAGGGATTAAGAGACAAAGAAGTAGAAACTGGACCCAAAATAGCACAAATGTTTTGTTATTTTAATGACATTTCCCTCCAGCTACTCAACCTCTAACAGAACGAAAGAAAAACAGAATAACAGAGTGCAGAATTTCAGAATAACAAAATACAGAATAACAGAATACATAACATAAAATACAGAATATCAAAATGCAGAATGACAGAATAACAGAGTTGGAAGGGACCTTGAAGGTCTTCTAGTCCAACCCCATTCAAGCAGGAATCCCTACACCATTTCAGACAAACAGTTGTGCAATCTTTTCTTAAAACCCTCCCGCGATGGAACAACCACGGTTCCTGGAGGCAAGCCATTCCAATGGTTAATTGTTCTCCCTGGCGGGAAATTTCTCCTCCGTTCTAGCTTTTCCAACTTCTAAAAAAACTATCTCTGGTCCTTCCTAAAATTGTACTTTTCTTTCCTTGACCTATACAGGTTACCCTGCAGGCGGATGACAAAAACGTCAGAAGGCAGAGATCCCCAAATGCAGCAGTCCCATTGTGAGCCAGCCTAGCGGGACATGAGGCAGATAAAGGGCCATTCGCTGTTCACAGATATCCTCTGGAACGGTGTCTGGTCCTCGTCTAACCCAAACGCTTCCATCCTTCTTTCTACTTGGCTGTCGCAGACAACTCATGAAGACAAGTTCAGAAACTCCCCTCGAGGTGGAGGTGAACGTGTTCGATTCTCCTGTGTCTCGGGTACCAGTAGAGCCAACCTCTGAAATGACCACATCTTGAAATTATATTGCAAGGAAATATATAATTTGTGGAATAAAATGCAGTTGCTTGACTCGGTTTGTTATTTCTTCAACCAGAGATGGTGGCAGCTACGTAAAAGGGTGTGTGTGAGTGTGAGTGTGTGTGTGTGTGTAAAGTGAAGCACTGATAAAATAGTTTTGCCCCTCTTGATAGACTATTCCCAATTTGTCGGAAATAAAATGTGATCATTTAGCTGTGTCAGTCTCTTGTAGTAAATGCACTAAAGAGCCCTATAGGGTCTCTTTCTTTCCTTCCTTTTTTTTCTTCCTTCCTTCCTTTCTTTCTTTCTCTCTTTCTTTTTCTTTCTTTCTTTATGTATGTATATATATTTTCTGTCTCTCTCTTCCTTTCTTCTTTCCTTCCTTCCGCTCTCACTCTTTTGTCCCTTTCTTTGTAACTTTCTTTTTTTTTCTCTTTTTTCCTTTCTCCTTTCTTTCCTTCCTCTCTCCTTTCTTCCTTCCTTCCCTCCCTCCCTCTTTCTTTTTCTTTCTTTCTTCATATATATTTATTTTTATATTTTCTTTCTCTCTTCCTTCCTCTCTCCTTTCTTTCTTCATTCTTTCCTCTTCCTTCTTCCTCTTCCTTCCTTCTTTCGTCTCCTTCCTTCATTCTTTCCTTTGTTCCTTTCTTTCTCTTTCTTTTTTCTTTCTTTCTCTATTTTCCTCTTTCTCCTTTCCTCCCTCCCTTCCTTTCTTTATCCTTGATGTAAGGCCACAAACGACCCATACATTTCCATGGCTAAGCGAGCGTTGTCCCGATTTGTGACTTTTCACTGTTGTTAAGCCCATCACTGCAGTTGTTAAGTGAATCGGATGTTAATTGTTCATACGTGAATCTGCTTTCCCTCATGGACTTCGCTTGTCGAAAGCCAGCTTGGAAGTTACACAGGGCAGTCCCATGATCCCCGAGCAGTACAACTGTCATAAATACAAGCCAGTTGCTAAGCATCTGAACTTTGATCATGGAGATGCTGCAACAGTCATAAGAGTGAAAACCAGCCATAAGTCCCCTTTTTTCCCCAGTGCCATTGTCATTTTTGACTGGCCACTAAATGGAAAAAATTGAGAAATTGCCTTGTACAGAAAGGAGTAAATCCCACAGAACTTGCATGACTCTTTATCATCACGATGTGATTGCTACGGGGCAACAGTGAGACCGGATGGCTTTGAACATTTAGGGCAGCCGTGGGAATACAATCGAGGAATCTTCTCTTTCCAAGAAATTCACTGACCATGAATCACTCCACGTGTCTTTTAGATAAGGAGAATTGATCTCAGACATTCCAGCTCTGGGACAGACTTCTAAACATCTCTGTAATTTCAGTTCATAACATTGTGGTTTGAGTTTCCAGAATGCGGCTGGAAAAGCTGTTTCTTAATTCCTGGGGAATTCTTTCTTTCTTTCTTTCCTTCCCTTCCTTCTTTCTTTTCTTTCCTTTTCTCCCTCTTTCTTTGTTTCCCTTCCTTTCTTCTTTCTTTCTACTTGCTCTTTCTTTCTTTCCCTTCATCCCTTTCTTTTCCTTCTTTCTTTTTCTACTTTTTCTTTCCTTCCTTCCTTTCCTTCTTTCTCTTTTTCTTTCTTTCCCTTCATTCCTCCTTTCTTTTCCTTCCTTCTATCTTTCTTTCTTTTTCTACTTTTTCTTTCCTTCTTTCTTTCCTTCTTTCCTTCTTTCTCTTTCTTGCTTTCCCTTCATTCCTCCTTTCTTTTCCTTCCTTCTGTCTTTCTTTTTCTACTTTCTTTCTCACTTTCTTTCATTTTCTCCCTCTTTCTTTCTTTGTTTCCCTTCCTTCTTTCTCTTTCTACTTGCTCTCTCTCTTTCTTTCTTTCCCTTCATTCCTCCTTTTTTTCCATCCTTCTTTCTTTCTTTTTCTACTTTTCCCTCTTTCTTTCCTTCCTCCCTTCCTTCTTTTCTTTCCAGCACCGATACGGCAGCTACTTCATTCTCACAACTCTGGCCAACCAACATTGCATATGACCTCTCCTCAGAACAAGTCACAGACATTTCCAAAAAAAATATATTTTTTTAGGTATGATTCTTTTGTAGGGAGAACAATGCCAACTGTTCTTCATTCCCTCAGTCTTCTGGTTCTTCAGTCTTTGACGATTGAGAACCTGATGACTGAGACATTGCTAACATAATGTCCATCGTTGTTGGAGTCCAAAGAATTCTTTCCCCAACAGTGTAGTCTTTACAAACTGGCAGAGACAAGGCCTGTGGCCCACAGTTTTGTGCTGCTCCGCATGAACCTCTGGAAGCTGGCCACTGACTAACAGCCTGACGTAGTAACTGCTGAAGACCATCAAGAGTTGCTGGGCCATTGTCTGAAACAAGACAAGAAATCGACATTAATCGAGGACGTCTGTTCTCAACCGGCAGAAAACTCTAGTGGCCGAACATGAGTTTTTCACGAGAAAAATCTCAGCCTCAACCCAACAAATGAAAGAAATGTCCATTCTTGTGCACAACCCCAAATCCACGTTAAGGTCGAGGGTTTTTATTCCAATGTCTTTTTGATCCTCCCAGCTAATTTATTGCTTGCCTGGAGTTTTATCCAGGGTTGGCAGGGGAGTGGGGTTCCCTTAATTTTAATCACATTAGTTTTATTATTTATGTAGGTTAGGTTTTGTAGTTCATACTGGATGTACGTTTTATTACTGTTCACATAAGAGAGAGTGGGGGGTTAGACAGATGAGAGAGAGAGAGAAGAGAGGGTTTAGATAGCTAAGAAAGAGAGAGAGAGGAGAGATGAGATAGATAGATGAAAGAGAGAGAGAAGAGAGATAGAGTAGGTAGATAAGAAAGAGAGATGAGAGAGGAGATAAGAAAGAGAGAGGGGAGAGGGGAGATAGATAGATGAGAGAGAGAGAGAGAAGAGAAGAGAGAGAGATTAGGTAGATAAGAGAGAGAAGAGGTGAGATAGATAAGAAAGAGAGAGAGAGGAGAAAGGAGATAGATAAGAAAGGGAGAGGGGAGATAGATAGATGAGAGAGAGAGAAGAGAGATAGATTAGGTAGATAAGAGAGAGAGGAGATAGATAAGAAAGAGAGAGAGGAGAGATGAGAGATAGATGAGAAAGAGAGAGAAGAGAGATAGATTAGGTAGATAAGAAAGAGAGAGGGGAGAGAGGAGATAGATAGATGAGAGAGAGAGAGAAATTTTCTGACAGTGAGAACAATCAACCGATGAAACAGAAGTTGCCTTCAGAAGTTGTGGGAACTTCATCACTGGAGGCTTTCAAAAAGAGACTGGACTGGCACATGTCAGAAATGGTGTAGGATCTCCTGCTTGGGTGGCAGGTTGGACTAGATGACTTACAAGGTCCCTTCCAACTCTGTGAATCTGTTCAATCTGTTAAAAGTCTTGGTGTTGTGCGTCCGTCACGCTCCTTAGGGATCAGGGCGGGTTTGAAATAATATAAAACAAACGAACATATTCAGAACTCTTGTTGACTTACAGGGAATTCCATCTGAGTGATGCTAATATCCTTTGCAGCTCAGGGGTTTTTCAAAACCGTTGCTATTGCAAAACTCTTGGGCAATATGTCACATGCTTTCCTGGCAGTTTCTCTTTTCATGATGAATCTCAAGGTATCAGTGAAGCACAGCCTGAGTTCTGCAGGTTGTTGTCTCATGAAAACAGAAGAAAATATTTCTTCCGGGCATGCCGTAGCAATCCATACAGGTAGTCCTTGATCTACAGCACTTCCTCTAGCCGCCATCCAAAGTTACAACGGCATGGGGAAAGCTCTGTTCTGACTCCAATTCCAATCATTTTGCTGACCTCCCAAGCAAAAGAGGCAGGGAAGACAAAGAAATGGGAAGGAATCCTTACCTCCGGCGTCCTGTCTGGGACGAGATGGAGGAATTCTCGGCGGGACAAGAAATGATTGCTGCTCTTCTTCTTGGTCTCTGGCAACAGCAAACATTCTTCCAAAGAATCGTTCCGTGGGCTTTCCCAGGTTGGCAGGATAGCTGTCTCGACGACAATGCCGACGTCTTCCAGATTGCGCTTCAGTGCTGACTGACAACAACGATGACAGGGATTTATTTTAGAGAAAACAGTGTGAGAGGCAAAGCAATGGATCAAATCTGGGGGGAAAAAAAATATCCTTTCGGATTTTGTTTCCTTTGGTTTTGTGCAACTTTGAGTCAGTCTCGACTCCTGGCAACTGCCTGGATTAATTCCTGCCATTTTGTCAGAGAGTGTTTTTACTAGGACTTTCTTTGTTTTGATGGAGAAGACGGGACTGGCCCAAGATCACCCACCTGACTGGGAATGGACTAGAACAGGGGTCGCCAACTGGTGGGCCATGAGAAAATTTTGGTGGTCCACAGAGAAATGTCCCCCCCAAAGCAATTAATCCAGGCTGTGTGGGAACACAAGGCTGTGGTGCCCACATGGCCCGCGGGAACACAAGCGCCGCTTGCATTGCGAACAACACATGGTAGTGAGGGGAGGGAGGAAAGGGCGGAGGGGGGGAACTTGCCCCACTCGCCCCACATGACTGGCCTGGCCACCGGGTTGCTTCTTTCCGCTTCTTTCTTCTTCTGCTTTTGGCTACACGTAAGAAAGCAGCAAAAGTATTTCTTTCTCTACCCCAAACTCTGCCAGAAATAAGTCTTTGGGACCCTGCAAAGCATCCTGCTCCAAGAGGCGTGTGACAAGTCTCACAAAGACTCATTTCTGGTGGAGTTTGGGGGAGAGAAAGAAAGATTTCTGCTGCTTCTGCTGCTTTCCTTGCATGAAGCCAAAAGTCTCTCTCTTTCTCTCTCTCTCTCTCCCTGAGAATGGAGCTGGAGACGGTATCCTGCGATCCCAAATAAAAAATAATCGATCAGTACAAAAATGGTGTGGAGTATTTTCCTGCAGACTTTGGGGGATTTTCCCAGGGTCTCTGGTCCGCGGGATTGAAAATTATGAGTTTGGTGGTCCCTGAGATCCAAAAGGTTGACAACCCCTGGATTAGAACTCACTAACTGGGCAGGAATACATTTCAAGTGTCCTCTTTTCTCAACCCTGCACCTAAGAGGCTTGAACAGTGATGGGCCAGTCAGAGGTGAGATTTGCCAGTTCTCCAAACTACTCAAAGTTTCCACTACCAGTTCTCCAGAACTGGTCAGAACCAGCTGAAGACCACCTCTGGGCTTAAAGGGAAGGAGTGGCCAAACAACTTACCTCCTGGTTTCTCTTCAGAGTGGCCAGAAAGTCCGTCAAAGACTGAAGGCAAAGTTCAACGTCGAAATGAACAAACCACAACTAAAGGAGAGGAGAAGAGAGGGAGATAAATGTCAGCCTTGGCCGCCATATTTTACTCTAAGGCTGCCACATTTAGTGCCTGGGAAATTGGGAGGGGAGATTTCATAGAGCGGTGGATGATTAGACTCAACAACATTCTTTCTCAGAGAGTCAAGGACATGTTACCCTGCACCTGGAGGGAGTGTTGGGAGGAATGGCTCCAGTTGGGACGATGATTGATTAGGCCATGTGATGGATGATGGATGCAGGGGATAGATCTTTGTTTTTTCCCTTAGGGAAGGAAAACAACGGAAGTTTCATATTCGGGTTTTCCCAGATGTGCCAATATGGCTTCTCTAATAAATTCTTACTTGGATGAAATTTGTTTCTGAGTGCTGAAGGGATATGGGGAGATTCGTTGGAACGCTGACAATAAACAAGAAAGCACCTGGGAAAATCATCTGGTCTCTTCAGTCGTTAGAACCTTCTTGCAATTACCTGCATTTCACAGATATGATGCTACACTCACATCTACATACAACCTTCCAAAGCCTGATATCTTATCTTTAGAAGCTGGGATCCTTGTTGCAAAATTATAACATTTCATGGGATAGATGGAGAGAAATAACTTGCCTCCAGAGGTTGTGGATGCTCCAACACTGGAGGTTTTTAAGAAGAGATTGTACAAGCATTTGTCTAAAATGGTTATAGGGTCTCCTGCTTGAGCAGGGGGTTGGACTAGAAGACCTCTAAGGTGCCTTTCAACTCTGTAATTCTATAATCCCAGTTCAATTAATCGGTGGAATGATTTGCCTTCAGAAGTTATGGTTGCTCCATCACTGGAAGTTAATTATATTGGACAGCCATTGGTCTAATCTACTATTCTGTTAGGACATTCCCCGTTCAGAAAACACCTACCTGTGGGACAGCAGAATTCTTGTCTGGAATATTTGTCATCCCTACCAGGAATCCAAGCTTCATGAAGGCTTCATTGGCAGCTATTAGTCTCATATCTGTATTCACATTCATCTGGTAAAGAAAAGGAAAAGGAAGAAGGTTAAAAGAATTGAGCTGTGGCTTAAGAGTATCTGATATTAACACAGTTGAGAAAGTCCAGAAATATTTCATAAGAAAAGTTCTCCACTCCTCTATTCGTTGCAGAATACCTTATGCCACCAGACTTGAAATTCTAGACCTAGAAAACCTAGAACTACACCACCTTCAGCCCAATCTAAGTATAGTATATAAAATCATACATTCTTATGGAATGAACCTGACTGCAACCTGCTGACCAGATAGCCATTCAGTTTCTACTTCAAAACAACCAGTTTGTTTCTGAATTGTGACTTTGGAAATCCTACACAGGCAATCCCAGATGCCAGCTTGGAAGCTATATGTCTTTGAGGCTTCTGGGCTGCCACATTCAGTGCCTGGGATTTGGGAGGGGGGACTTCAAGGAGTGGTGGAATATTAGCCACAACAACATTCCTTTCTCCCAGAGTCAAGGACATGTCACCCAGCACCTGAAGAGAAGAGATTGGGGATAGTCTCCAGTTGGAATGAAGTGAGGATTGGACCGTGTGATGAGCTGGTGGGTGCAGGGGTTGGATTTTGGGTTCCTTCTGGGCTAGGGAAAACCCAGAAATCTCATATTCACGTTCTCCTCAGGTGTGCCAATAAAGGTAAAGGAAAAGGTTTCCCTCGCACCTACATGCTCTTCGTTTCTGACTCTAGCGGGTAGTGCTCATCTCCATTACAAAGCCGAAGAGCCAGCGCTGTCCGAAGACGTATCCGTGGTCATGTGACTGGCATGACTAAACACCGAAGGCGCACGGAACACTGTTCCCTACCAACCAAAGAGGTCCCTATTTTTTTTAACTTGCATTTTTTACATGCTTTCGAACTGCTAGGTTGGCAGAAGCTGGGACAAGGAATGGGAGCTCACTCTTTTGCAGCACTGAGGATTCAAACTGCCATACTCTGACAAACTCAGCATCTTAGCCACTGAGCCACCACACCCCTTCCTCTCTGTGGCAGATTTTGGAAGACTGCTCTCATGTCTCCCCTGCTCCTTCTCTTCACTAGACTAGCCATGCCCAGTTCCTGCAGCTCCGTTCAGTTGCCCCAACTGCATCCTGGTGCAAAGGATTATGGGTCATTAAAAAACAACCCAAAAAGTGGAAATAGCAACTGGATACCATCTAGTCCCACCTTACCTTGCTTTGATCGTGATGAATTATGACCAGGATGGCCACAGCAGCCACCAAGGCAACAAGGGTAACCAAAACACTGATTTTCCAAGACTGTCCAACTGAAAAAATTTGCAGGACGGAATAAAGGTTGATCCAGAGAATCACGTAGACAATCTGAAAAGGAGAGAGGTTAAGTCAGCAGCTCTTTTTCTCAGAAATAATAACAACAGGGGCATAAAAAGGACAAATCTGGTCTAAATATTTGGCTGACTGTGCAACCAATGATAATAGTGGTTGTTTACTTGTTTGCTTCTTATCAAATTTAGGTATGGCTTATATCGGAGATGGCACCCAGCATGGCTGGTTCAGGCATTAAGAGCGATTAAGAGCAATATCTATTCTTGAAAAGATTAAAAGAATCCTTTATGCTGCATTTTACTCAGTCTGTAAGTCGTCTAGTCACCAGGTGAATGGAATATGAGTTTGAGATAGATAGATGGATGGATGGGTGTGTGGGTGGGTAGGGGTAGGTAGGTGGATGGATGGATGGATGGATGGATGGATGGATGGATGGATGGACAGACAGATGGTGTTGTGGCCCGCCAGCGGCCAGCAGAATTGGCGGCAGACTCAGACAGTGGGAGGTTACGGAGGAACATGGGCCAGTCCTGGAGTCTGGCTGTGATGAGGGCTCTGTGTTGGAGGCAGAGATGGGGCCAGGGCCATCCGATAGGTATCAGCTGCCTACGGAGTTGGAGATCAGTGGGGCAGAAGAACAGCTGGAGCCTGTTCCCAATGTGCACATGTGCAGAACTGCCAGGAGAAGGGAGCAGTTAAGGAACAAGGGTCAACTCGGGAGTAAAGGCACAGGTGGATGGTGAATGGCTCCTCCCATAGGGAATAAATAGGAGCGAAAGGGAAGTGGTGTTTGCAGGAGACAGTTAGTTGGTTTACTTAGTGTGAAGATCTGCTTATTTAAGTTCATGACTTCCAGAGACTCCTTGCCAAGTATTTTCTTGTACAGCGTTGTGCTTGGAAGCTATCGGCCTGACAACTGTCCAAGCCTGATAAGGTCTGTGGCTGCCAGAACTTTGCTAGATGTCAATGATAGAAATTCACATTAGCCAAATAAAAAGAGGTTTTGTCGGGATAAGGAGTCTGTTTTGTGATTATGAGAAGCCTATCTATCATCATGAATAGTGATGATAGATAGATAGATAGATAGATAGATAGATAGATAGATAGATAGAT